GTGATATTAAATTGAAGCTTGTGTAATATCCTATGACTTTTTCACTCAAGGTTATAATATATTGAAATACTCAAAAACAGTTATTGTGACGTTGATTGCTTTCACATTCAAACCTTCATATTAATTTTCTGAAAATGGAATTTGTTCATGGCAAATCTCGAAAATCCTAAATCTCGCGGGTAGTGCATGTTTCATCGCAAGAAATATCGAACATTCGGGAGAAATTGCTTCAAATGTTCTCTATAAAAGGCCAGATATCCACGCTGATATCATTGCCACTCTAAAAATTCTTCCGAAGTTCAGAATTCAGAAAAAATCTTTCCATCGTTTGGATGATATTTCATTGTGCTACGCGTAACAGATGACCAGCCTAGGGATTGTTTGAATTCGGTACCTCACAGCGTGACGTCGCACGTCAAGTCAACGTCCACAGGAACACCATATGGCACGCATGGCACCAAACAGAACTACTACGTCCTCTGACAAAAACTATCTTCCCGAGGTAATGGGGTTAACTGACTAAAAGTCCAGTTTCCACCCTTGCCGAACTAGCCTGGAGTTTCTGGGCTTGATCGTAGCGCCACTAGTGGCTTTTGCAAATTATTTCCCTTCTCTGTCCCTCCCATTGACCAATCAGATTCTACATCTGATATCACTTGCATTTTGCTTCAGACAAAATGGCGGCGCCCAGTCAAGACGATCTGATCGAAATCTACATTGTGATAAAACGGGTGTTACAAGTCATCAAGTAACATGAGCATCCTGATTAAAACCATGAAAAGATATCTGTTGACGCCGAGTTGGCGGTACACCCATGCTTTGCAAAGCCTGCAATCGACCGAAATTTGCACGGCAGTTTTCGAACCGAACGTCGATTTTGATTGGACTATGCATAAATTATACTCGTTAGTCAAATCCATAATTCCAGCCCCGTTCGGCAAGGGTCGAAAATGGACTTTCATAGTCAGGTAACTCCCTGCCTCGGGAAGATGGACAAAAGACTCGCCAAGACATAGATTCAAACTACACATGTTTGAAACAGACTCCAGACAGCAACTTTCACAGCCGTACCATTCGAGGCAATAGAGACATTTCTGCGAAGACAGTCCGACGACGTCTACGCATCTACTATATCCGTGCGTGACGCCCAGTCAGACGGCCAATCTTGACGGCTGAACATCAACGTCGACGTCTCAAGTGGTGCAGACAACACTTGCGGTGGACAGCACGTCAGTAGAGGAGGATCCTCTTCATCGATGAATCACGCTTCCTTTTTCATCGACAAACACATGTGTCCACGAAGACGATAGGTTTGGAGGTGATTGCACTAAGATATAGGATGGAATAACGGCTACACGAAGGATTCAAATTATCGTGATTGATAGGAACTTGAAGGAGGTTTTGCAAACAGACGTTTTACCTTCTTCAGACCAGAACGACCCTGGAGTCACATTACAGCACGATAGCGCCAGACTACATGCTACTATAGCTGTGCAGTCGTATCTGTGTTAAAGTTAATATTCCATGATCTGTTACAAATCGAACATGTAATGGGTCACATGGAAAACCGTTGCAGGGACTTTGGCTTATCCTTCCTTAAATACGGAGTGCCATTCCCTAGGCCTTTCTTCAACGTTTTGTGTCCTCAATGAAGCGAAGGTGTCTGACCTACATATGTGCCCAAGGTGGACACACTCGCTACTAATTGTTCGAAGTCAGACCCTAACCCTCTCGTGTGACATAACTCATTAACGTGCGATAACATATGGATTGTTGCTCGATATCTTCAGACGTTGTTCTTTCAGACATTATGTGACAATACTATCCACTTCTGTAGTACGTTGGAAAGATACTTTTAGAATGCCACAACAACTTTGGCATTTGAGTATATTTATAACATGTTTCACAGGTTATTCTAAGAAAGTAAGTCAAATATAACAAAATCTCTACAGGATGTGTCTGATTTTCTCAGTGTTACTAATCTTCATAACTCTTTCTCTGGAATTCTGATTTTAAATTTTCTACTGCCGTAAATCCAGTTGAATATCTGATCGGGTTAAATCAATGTTCAACCTGCATTCTCCTTACTTTATTCTGTGATCAATTCACGATCTGCCCACACTTCATAATTCTTCTTTGTTATTGCGGTCAATGAATCCCGTCCATTCGTCTGTTAAGGTTTGTTTTTTCAATCTTTCCCATACTTAAGCAAGCGCTTTCTTCAGCAATCATTTCTAGACGAGTAATTGCTTGTACTTACATGTAAATAAATGCCCACGTGTTCTTCTGTGATGCATGTACATCAATCTGCCCTTACGGTGCCTACCTATTGTGTACAGCGTGTACCTCGATAACAGACAATGCTGACTAACATTGAAACCTGCATTATTTATGTGTTACATTCTTCAACACTAGCCCTCTGCTAAACAGAGCAAACTGAAAGAATTTGAAAAAACAAAGCGATTTCGAAGAAGCAGGTGTGCATTTATCCACACAAGTGCAGAGTGACAGCGATGACAGGTGTGGATGCAAGTGAATATTTAACAACAGGCACGACGACAAAATGACAATTAAAGTGTGCTTCAATCCCTCTATCGTGCTCAGAGTTCCTTGCGGCCGTCAGGCCAGCGCCATGTGACGATTCGTCACATCTTACACAGTCCATTCAAGATATTGCATGTTTGTTTAATCTGTGTCATTTTTGTATCAGTTTTGAAAAGTCTACACATTCAAGGCTTGCATTAGGTTTGCATGTCCTGATTGCAAAATTAGCGTGCTTGTTTACAAACAAGAGATATGCAAATTTGCCTGTGGCAGTGGTATTATGCTAAGTCACCACTGCGCCGGAGTGAGGCTTCAATCTCTTAGGTCATAGCAGCCACCACTGGGGGAAATCCCAATCCAAGTGTATTCACAAGTTCTATCTTACACATAATACCCTGTTCGAAATTGCGACGTGTTTCGAAAAGATCTGTAACGCTGGGATGTGGCGATGCGCGGCTAACGGTGAAAACGTGTACTAGCACCACTCCAGCGTGGCGCTAGGTATTTTTCAGAGGGGGGAACTGATTTGATGGATTGTTAAGGTGTGACGTTTTCACATGCTATCAACATGTGAGGCACTTAGGAAATATACATAATGTATCGTTTACAGAATTGCAAACATTCAACATGATTCATTTTATTTCATGAGATTCGAAGCCCGGAAATCTTCATCGTGAATACTGTCTGCATTAGCACCATTTATGGAACATTAGGCATGACGAGATAAATTTTTCATTTATTATAGATTATATTTGATTAATGTTTACTATACTCAGCAATCTGCGAATCGAATCACATATAACGGGTATATTATATTAACTTTTAACATTGAAAAACTCAATTGGTTTTGTCGGTTTCTGTCTTCAAATTTCATTTAACAACGTATTTCAAACACTCAGATTGAGTTGCACGCTCCCTCTTTTGCGATGCTTTAATATCCAATCACCGACACAGTTAGGTGCATAGTTCATTCTCAGACAAATCTCCTAAAATAGTAAATCATTTAAAGTAACCTGACATGATTAATTTCGACTTGCTTGTCTTCACAGCCGCGCTGAAGCAAATAATTTTCCCTCGAGGTATCGTGTTTCTAATGACTCTGGTGTCAGCAAGATAGGCGTATTATAATATAATGTTTCTAAAAGAATACGCAGATCTGTAACTGAACCCTAGTGGTTGCTTTAACTGTACATGTATGACTTTGAAGCGATGTTGTCAAACACTATCAACTTTTTATTCTGTTACGACGTTTCAGAGCTACGTACTTCTTGCGTCTTCATTATGTAAATGCTGAGTAAGTGTACAGACCTTTTACAGATATATGGATAGATAGATATGTTTACACAACACAACGTTGCTTGAATGTTCAAAGGTAACAATATAATGTCAATGCCAATGAGATAGGATTAATGTTCAAAGATAACGAGTCCCTGGCGTTGACGTTATACACACACGCACGAACAGACAGACAGGCAGTGAGGCAGGCAGGCATGCATGCATCCATACATACATCTGAATGTAATGATAATACTACAAATTGTATCTGGCAGTTCATTATATACGTTTATGTTACTGTAAAGATTATATTTGTGAACGATTGCGTACTTTTTAACATTGCAAGCTCGCATGGTAATCACGGTATTAATTCATCTCGAGATCAGTCATCAAAGCCTGAGCTTAACTACATTATAAAACGGGGTTCTGTATTCTTCGTTCTGACACATCAAAAGCGATCATTATTACATAACTGATGACGTCCATATTAAAAGCGCTTGTTGCCTTAGGGGTAACAGCAGGGATATGCAATTTCACTAACTTCTGTAACCACTCAGGTAACGTCATCGGGTACACGGATGCATCATTAATGATAACTGTATTAAACGAGAGATAGTTCAAAGTGTATTTGATGACGATCCGCGCAAAATAGTGGAAGAAGTCACTAATGCGACAACCGCTCCAAGCTAAAGAAACCTAAAGACGATCAAACGTGATTCTCCTCTCCGGTGCCACATAGGATCAGAGAGACCTTTAACTCGACACTGCTTCGTTGTTTGCGGCGGTCGAGGGATGATGAGGCTCGCCAGATGGGCATATCAATATAGCACGTAATTACCAAGACAATCCCCAAACGGGGCTATACTTCTTCAGCCCTTCATCGTCGTCACATTCGTGGACCTGCTGTTATGCACCGAACATCTAACTGAGCCGAAGACATTTTTATTCATTGGTCTGTTACTTTTATTGCCTAGACCATTCTGGACCCACAGAACTTACTGAAAGGGAAATCTCAATTCAGAAAAGAATACACATGGTTAATCAGTCTCGTGTGGAAATTAACTTTCGGGTCTAACTCATCGATTCATCTCTGTAATTACCATGTTTGATGGTCGGGGACGGGGGGGGGACGATTCAAGTTATCTGCGTGCCTGAAAGTTTATAGTGTGGCCTACTATATCGATTCACGGGCACTGGTAACAAAGCTCAGAATGTTGATTTACCAATAAGCACAAATATCCCATATATCTGGCCTTACCAAGTGGCATCTTCCGGGATTACAGATGCTATCATTCTATCCGGAGAGAGTAGCGACAACCATGTTTTGACCACCATTTGATTTATTAAATTAATCGATGTCAGTTTTCCTTAATCTTGCCTCAGCAGTGAGAAACTCTGTCAAGTTGCCTGAATAGACTTCAACGCGGAGCCTCTTCTACGGTTCGGAACGATTTCGTCAAACAAAGAAACCTAGCTCAACGGACCAGTTTTCTACCGATGAGCCGTCTGCAGTTTCTTCCATAGTGTGTAAATCATTTGCGGAAAGAATATCAAATCAACAATGGCAAATTCAACGCCAGGATTAAATGACACGGATTTTTATTTTCCATTGATTAAACAACCGGTGTATATGGTTGTGATCTATTCCTTGGCTTACATCATCGTGTTCCTGACTTCTATGGTTGGAAACATCATGGTGATGGCGGTGGTCTTTAAGAACAAAAGCATGCACTCTGTCACAAATTACTTCCTGGTGAATCTGGCTGTGGCGGATATACTTGTGACAATCGTCTGTGTGCCAGTCAATCTCTTAACAAGCTTGTATAATGGTAAGTAGCTCTCCAATTTCATCCATGTAATAAACAATTTGGTTGGCGCCAACTTGAGTTGCCGTTTTAAACATCAGCCATTACAAAGTAAACACCAGAGGAAGCTGGAATGCACAACGCTATGTAATTCAAAATAATTACTTTGTTCTCTTAACTGAACATAACTGAACACCCGGTATCCCTCTCAACTTCACACTCTCGACCAATGTTCGCCCACACACTATATGAAAACATATTATGTTATGATGTAATTAGTCACGTTCGTTCAAGGTTTTTTATATCATATTTGTTTAAAACGTTGGTTATTGAACGATATGTAATAATAATAATAGAACAGGATAACGTCTTTTTATTCAGATCCAAACTTGATTCATGCAGTGTATGTTGGCCCTAACATGCCATCAAAAGTTTTGTTTACCAAACAGGTACTCAACTTGAATTACTTTGGCATTTCAGTCTTAGTCAAAGAATTTCTTCTCTTATGTTTCTCCTGTTTGACAATCGTTTCGATCCCTTGTCATATGATCAGATCAATGAGGTGTTCATTACTGCGAACCGTACCTATGTCTTGTCTGTCACCTTTGCAGGCATGTTCCTCTGAAGGTTTATTCATGCCATTTGCTTCTTTTGTCCTCTCGATCTTGACTTCTCTCAAGATATTTCCTCGATCAGTTTACAGAATGGCGACGTACGTGACCTCTTACACATACACATCGTTCATTTTCTATACATTCTTTATTTTTCTACAATACAATTCCTGTCATGTATTCAGACTTGTTTTAGCCAGAAGATGTCGGTATGGAAAGTGAAAAATGCTTGAAGTTTGTTTATTTCCAGTCACTTTCCTTCCAATCACTGTCTACACAACTTTCGGTCACCAGCGTGTCTATTTGCAATATGATTCACAAATCTATCAAGACATTCATCACACTTTTTAAAATTAGAAATATTTCTTTCATTCACATAAAATTATGTGAAATTCCTTATCATACGTCCCCATTTGTCTCAAACGCACATTCATAAGATTGAGATTAGATACTGAGGACTCAAACTGCAGATTTACTGACTTTTCAGAATTTTGATGCAAGTCGATAGGAGACTCCAAATGTTGTTTGTGCATCCACCGAAGTGAGATTCTAGGAACGTAACAACTGCCACAGCGAGGCGTTCGAATGTAATAACTCGGAAGCTTGTCTTATTTTGAAAGCCTGAAGTCTTTAACATCACACTCACTTTCTCTATTGGATTAGGCAGTTAATTGAATCAGTTTGCCATCGGCAAGGGGACTTACATTAACTATAAGATGTGCTACTAGCGAACTTGATATCTTTGAAAATCTATTTTGAACTCTCGGTAGTATTAATGAAAGTCTATTTTGAAGACATCCTGCTTAATATCAAATACGTCAGGTTTCACGATTTACGTGCCAATGAGGAGTTGGTGTACGCATATGATTTTGTGATATCGAAAACGTTTCTGCCATGCAGACGTTTTGACATTATTGACAGTTTACGGAAATTAGAATATTAGAGCCCCAGTGAAATGCAACTAAAACGATCGGGGGGTCAGGCTTGGTGATATTGTTTGATGCATGTCATCCTACCCCGAAGGGGTGGGGCATTGATCATAATTTCAATCACAGGTTTGTCTGGACAGATTCGATTATAAGTATGCAGAGGTTACGTTTATTCATGTACAGTGTCTGACCTTACCTGTGACATTTAAGATATTTCATTGCGCCGAATAACTCAAAACTAATTATGACGAAATGGATTTAAGATTGATCAATTTGCTGACATTGTACACATCAAACCGCTTCTAACGACAGGCAAAGGTAGCTTGATGTACATGGGTTAAACAGAAAATTCTTACGTTGTGTTTTTTATCATTATTTGTTTGTCAACTTCATTACATTTATGAGTGACGCCATGCCTGTTTCACATGTGTTAGTTCATCAACTTAGGAGTAAACGTATTGCGTTTTAAGATTTGCTGAACATATGTTATCGAGTACTTTAAGTATTTGAAGATTTTGAAGTGTTAAAGTCCTGATATCTGTAAACATCGCTGGAAACATCGCTTGTCCCCTGACAAGTGAGCTCCCCTGATGCGGAATGCAGAGAAAAATGATGAACATGTGAGAAATATACTATATGATGGGTGAAATTTAGACTATGAATCTTATATTTCCGGTTTTTGAATCAATTTAACAACGTTCGTTAACCGATTAGATTGTGGTACGGATTCTCATTTGTACCATCTCCTTTAATGAACATGCATGGTTGACATATATATTTTTTCTTTAGAGATGTGTTTGTATCATTGAATTTCGTCAAGATTTATCCGACTCAGTGCTCATTTGCCTCATAACTATGAGCTTCTGACACCTGGCAAAAGGTGAAATGTTCACTCAGTCATTGGTTTTCTCGTTTCAGTATCTCTTAAATCGGCCCTGATAGTCTATACGTTGCCCCAGGGGAAATAACGTGTTTAAGTATTGATAGTTATTAAATTCCTTCACTATCATAACTTGAGCGTCTTGATCCATGTATTCATGGCTGGGTATGTTTTAATAAAATTGTTCATCACATTGTTTTTAATCGCTTAGCAGACACACTTAAGAACGTCATAACATTATACGCTCTATACAATACCGACATAACAAATATTGTGGCTCATATAACAGTCACTATAAATGTTATACATTTTTATGATCAGATAGCCAGCGTAATGAACACGTTTGCTAATAGTTCATATATATGTATGTATGTGTATGCACTTCCGGCTGAAGAAAGGCTTGCATTTCGAATTAGTCTTTGGGTACCAGATCCGTTCATCTCCTACATCGGTAACGTCTAGACTGCGTATTGATGCGGAGATGACGAAAGAATCGGTTAGACTGATTAGGTGCTCATGTTGTACCGCTTATACCTTCCATATCATGTCAGCGTTGGTGACCACGAATGAGTAGTTAAGTGGAAACGTCCACACTCTGCAAGGGCAGACTGGTCCACTCACACACGCATTGCAAATGGGCTGTTGACAAATCCGGAAGTAACTGGCGACCAATGAATGTTCAAACACACTCATCAAACAGTAGTAATACATAAATACGTTTTCTGTGGCGGTTCTAACACTAACACAATCAATATCAATATACTTTCCAGATTGCCTTCAATTAAAAAGAACGTTTTAATATCTCTATGCATGCATGGTGAAATGTGAAATGCAAAATGTAGACCTCGTTACTTTTTATAAGCCTTTAAGTAATGTGCAGTAGTCGTTACTTTCTATTTGCCATCACGTGATTTTGAGAACTCGTTACTTTCGGTATTATATTCATTTATCAGGAAGAAAACGTTGCCCTGTACATTGCATGTTGAACTCGTCACTTCTGTATGGCCTTCGCGTAATATGCAGAGCCCGTTACTTTCTATGTTATTATGTACATATTCAAATAAAAAATCCAGCAAAGAGGGATTGTGTGATCCTGGCACAGTCAGGCTGGTTAGGCACACAATCAGCTCAGGGCTCTTGCCCATTCTACACGCAACGCAACTTGGTACTTTGGATGATGCAAGCGTGACATTTCGAAAGCGAGGTCTGCATATTTGCCATGTATTTGTTCAATCTTGTCGATCACATTAGCGTCAAAAGGGACAGAAAATTCAACAATATAAATAATTTCATTGGATTTATCAGAAGGGACAAGATCAGGTTTGTTGGCCTGGACACATCTGAGGCTCTAAACGGGCCTATTCCAAAGAATTTTGTATTTATCATTTTCCATGACGCCCTTTACATGTTCAGGGCCGTACCATGGATGGACCTCTGTGTCAAAACCACAAGCATGGCGAAGACGGCAAAAAATGATCGAGCCACTCCATCATGTCGCTTAAGATACTGTGTTTGTGCCAAAGCTGGGCATCATCTGACAATGTGTTGGACAGTCTCAATAAAATCATTGCATAATCTACATTTCATATCTACATTTTGATGCAAAATCATTCATTGACGGTTTGGAGTGGGAAGTGACTGGTCCTTAGCAGCAAACAAAAAGCCGCCTGTCTCACTTTTCAGGCCAGCCGACTTCATGCAAGCTGAGGACTCTGCAGGGCTGCTGATCTTCCCAATACACTGCACATAAACCCGATGCTGTAGTCGTTCAGATAGCCTCTCTTTGAGTCTGGGCCGATTTGATATGGCACTTCGCTTGGTTGACACTCTTTTCTGTACCGTCCAGCAGTAAAGAACCACCAACTTACATTATTAACAATTATTAATATTATTATACATTTATATACCTTTATTTTATGTGCAGAACGTATTAGGCACACACTGTTACTTTCTATATTGCCTTCACTTCATATATGGTGAACTTGTTACTCTCTTTTTGCCTTACTTTCTATATTATCATCATGTAATATGCAAAACTCTTCACCGATATATTTTTTTTGTCTTAACGCAATATGCAGAGCTAGTTTCTTTCTGCATTACCTTCATGTACTATACACAACCTGATACTTTCTATATTGCCTTCACGTAATATGGAAAACCCGTTACTTTCTATTCTGAATTCGACCGCATCCGTTGTCCAGTGGAAGAGCGTGGAAATATGGTACTTGTTGTTACCCTGTCTGTCACTCAGCATTAAGGGGCTAAAACAAGGATTGGTCGGCTTGGCGTCAGTACACTGTGTCTGAGTAGGGGTATTCATGTTAAACTGCGGTATGGTATCTCAGTTATCTAGCACCACTATAAATCGGCATCAGTCCAGACCAGCACAAGCAGCCACACACACAGACACACACACGCACACACGAACACGCACGCACACACATACGTGTATGCGCGTAGCTATATAAGTGCAATAATCTTGGACGCGACGTTAAACCCAATTTCACCACCTATTCCGCATTCGCGTAATTCTATGGAATTCTTAATTATTTTTCATACAATTGGAACATGGCATCATCATTCAAACTCAGTTACGGATGGTCA